GGTCCTAAGATGAGAGGGATGGTCCAATTACGAGAGATCGGGATCGAAGGGAAATTGCATCGGTGTCCTCGCTTCTTCGTCTTTATGCGTCACTTCTCTTCGGATGGCTGGGTTCAGGGCCGGGCAAGTCCCGAGATGGCGGATTGAGTGGCTGACGCACCGACAAAGGTGCGAATAATAATGTTTGACGTCGCTTCTCTCTTGTTCTGTTGTCGCGAACTTGTCGAGTCTTAGGCGCGGAGGTTGCGCGGAAAGTTTTGTTTCTTTTTTTGAATCTTTTTTTCGAATCTTGTCGAGCCTCTACGGCTCTCGAAATTTTGGACTTTCTTTTCGGAGTTTGCGGTTTATTAAAAGTTCCTTTTGCAATAAGTTTAGGAATTTTCAAAATTCGGGATTTCTTTTTGTCGCGCGTTGTTTTTTTTTTGCTCGCTTTTTTTTGCGGCTGCAGCGGAGCTCTGATTAATCGGCGCCCTTAATCGTGCGTGTAACCGTAATTTTGGGCAGGGAGTCATTGTAACTGTATCTTTCTTCTTGAGCTTCGTCTTTCCTGCTCTCTCCTTTTCTTTTTGCTGTGGCTGGCTAGCCCGCGGGCTGCATGATCGGATCGATGCGTGGAGAGTGGCTACGTCGCCCACGCCGCGGTCTGGCCATGCAGAACGTAGGCAATCCCTCCCCTTCTCCCTTCCTAAGTCCTTGCAATTCCGTGTTCTTCGCGCATGCATGCACACTATAAATTCTGGCTGCGCGATTAGATAGGTCTCTTAACCAGTTGTTGGAAGCTCGGGGTAGCGCGATCATTGAGGGTCGGCTCACGAGCGAAGTAAGAGGTGAGTTGAAGTGGGAGTCGGGCAACTCGACGGGCTGGTGCCGAATGTGTGGGGTTGACGCGTGGGGCTGCGACGAACTGTAGCGCGCAGGCGAACCTGACGAGTGCAGGAGGACTAAGCGGGATGACGACTTCGTGGGTTGGTGCGCGACGACGGACTGTCCGCATCGGGAGAGAGAGAGACGAAGAGGGAGCTGAGGTTGATGGACGTGGATTTGCAATTTTCTTTGTCTTGTCCCCCTCCTGGCTTTTGTGTATAAAATTTGATTTCGGTTCGAGCGATTCACTCTTATTTCTCTTCGGCACATCTGTTTCGATACTGGTCCTTGTATGATGTCCCGTTCTGTCTCGGTTTTCCTGCTTTTTGCACATATGGGATGGACGAATGTGGATTGTCGTTTTTTTTTTGCATAGTTGTCGTACTTGCTTTCATTATTGCTCGATGTTGCTGCGATGACCGAGGTGTAATGATGCCTTGCATGCTCGGAAATGATTGTTGAGTGATTAGATGATTGGGTAGCATCCCAGACAGGGAACAATCTTTGCATAAGGGATTAAAATCTCACTTTGATAGCCAGTTGGCCCAGGTGCACGTGAACACCTCGCGTGGATACGCGTAAGCGCGATTGGAACTGCGCTGCCTACACGTATCCACGCGTGGCGATCAGACGGGCAGGGAATTTTCCTTCCTTCACGCACCCAAAGATAGAAGGATTTCCCGACACCCTATTGGGAAATTCCCCTGTCGTTCAGATACGCACGGAGGATTCCACTCCCCCGCAATGACAAGATGCTCCTAGGACTCGGAGTACTTCGACCCTTGGGTGAGGGAATGTATTAGGCAAAGATATCCGGAATTCCCCTGCCTAACCGAGAACCGATTGTGCCCTAGGGAGTTTCAATGTGCCACAACCAGCGATCCGAGGTGCCCCGATCTTCCCAGTACGGATAACACGCAATACTTCATATCCCCCGGCTTCGTCGTTATCGCTATGAATTTCCCTCCCTTCCGTCTCCTCCTTCCATATCACCAACTCACAGTGGTTCCGTGGAATTCCATTGCCCCGTATTGGCCCCGCACGCCTTGCGGAAATTGCCGGCGACGCGGCAACTGACAAGCCTCTGAAACTACGGGGCCTAACCAAGACGCGCGACGACAGACGCCACGTGTCTGCACCCGAAGGTCCGACTCATCGTGATCACATTTACCCCCGGCGGGCTTCTCCCCGAACCACCGTCACCAAAACAGACGAATTGGACGGCCTTGAATGCACTATGCATGCCATCTGCCTTATGCTGCACGACCTCGACCGCCATCAAACCGGAAGTAACTCGCCCCCCTTAGCTCTATCGCATCTATGCCCCTGAAACTTTGCCACAGGAGATCTCAGTTCCGACCTGGGACTCCACCCCGACTTTCCTCAAAAATCCTTGGCACACCCCTTTTCGCACTTCCAGGCGCACATCACACTCCGAACAGGAAGTCGCGTCGGGCGTGAGGTTGGGCGTCACAAGGACACAAGATCTCTCGAGCAGCAGGGCCGTAAGATGTGACGGCAGCACTGGTGGGATGAAAGCCGTGGTACCGGTACCCTTCCGAAGGACCAGCGGGGAGGCTTGCTCTATTTTGCCAGTAGCGCTCTGGAGGCCCCTTTGCGGTACAGCAAAAGGGCGAGGACTTCACTGAATTGAATTCTGGCCTATCAGGGCCCCGGTAACTCACGGGGAAACCAGCAGCAGTAACTGGACTTCCAAGGCTCGGAAGTATTTCTTGGCAAGGGTTGTCCACTCCCGGTACCTTTTCGACGTTCGGATTTACTCGCTGACCAGCGCCGCCACTCGAAGCTTCAGCTCTGCAGGAGACGCAACAGACGTGTGAGACCTTCCGCTTCAAGCTTTCGCGCTTTGCAGCGTGAAAATCCGGGCCCGCCCAGCCATGCCCTCGGAGCATTGGTGGGTGCCCCATGATTTCCATTTTCAAGGAAGGTGTCAGATGTCTGAACTTGTAAATTATGTTGTTACCTTTTATCTATCTTTGAACAATTTATACCTGGTCAGTTTTAAGTTGCTGTTTGTTCATACTTCCCCTCAATATTTCTTGCTGATGCATGACTCTAAGAACCCCTGTTCAGAACCCTTACACTTCTGACTTTGTTCTACGCCCACCAAACGCACATGTCGGGCCGGTAGGCCGGTAGGACCCAAGGAAACCGCCTCTCCGTCGAAGTCTACGCATAATGCATAGTTGTTGTTGTTTTTCGGCCGCCTTGATCCAGTGATTGGTCGACAGCTCCGCAGGACCCCTGCTCACCCCCGGAATATGCAAAAAAACTTTTTACGGCCAGTTTGGCCAGCGCCCAACCTTCAAGAGCAGCGCGTGGGATCCAAGCCTAATGGGAGCCATCCGCCTTCTTTTGACACATGCATGGAAACCTGCTGACAGTTAAGAGCCTATCTCAGTGGGTACACCCATGAACTTTTGAAGTCTAGACCTAAGTTCGAATTCAGATGATGAAACATGATGGAAACCACTGATGGAGCCCCCCCCCCCGGAACTGATAACATTCCAGAGAATTCACATTCCCCGTTCCGTGCACCGAAACCCGCTCAATGCCTTTCTCCGCCTCCGGCGAACGGTCCCGGCGCCAGATGTGAAAAAGTGAAAAAGGAGGGAGCAATGGCATGCGTATCTGTCGACGTTCTGAGTTAGGATACGTCATGTCGACGTCCAGGCTGAGGTGCATCCTGGTACGGCCAGGGTGCAGCCAGGGCCTAAGATGAGGCGTGTAATAAGATCAAGGGCATATATGTGGTCCGACCGGCTCACCTGCATCGCGGAACCATCACGGCAAAAGCACCACTCACCCAAGAGCCTAGCTCAGTGGGTACACCCATGAATTGTTGAAATACAGACCTGTGTTCGAATCCAGATGATAAAACTTGACAAGTAAAACCAACTACTAATGAATTGCCTGGGGCCGGATAATATCTCAAGGCCGTCGCCCTTTTTTTTAAAAAAAAAGAAAAAGCACCACTCAATGCGCCCACACGGACAGCATGCTGCGACGCCCCCTCCGTGCCCCCCAACCAAAAAAAAAGAGGGGACCGCGAGTAAGGCCGATTGTAAGCGGCAATGTTCACGCGGTCGTGTTGGCGCGTATGCGTCATTGTACGCCTGTGCCGACGCATCAGCCGTGTGTACGCCCGTGTACGTGGTTTGTGTTGCCGCACAGCCTGGCTGGAGTAGCGCCGAAAAGAAGACACATAAACAGCACACGCAACACAAACGTAAACACAAACACACAATATATACACGGAGCGAACGTGAAACACAGACACACACACACAGAGGGGGAGAGAGGATGGGCGAAGGCAGCGTAGTCAGGTGATGAATTTCTTTCTCATTCTGAGTGGCGTTTTTGTTATCGCGGTGATCGTGCTCAACTGCAGCTCATGTCGTGTGCGGCTTTGCACTCCGAATCCATCAGGTGGAGACCACCAATCCTTAACACGCCAGCATCTTGGCTTCGCTTGAGTACTGCGCAAGATCAGAGAAGTTTGGTGGCTGCGGCTATACCTTCTAACGCCATTTCCACAGCTTCTGCCGAGCGCCGGATTGATCGGAGGGAATCAAACGGGAATCGAACGGGATCGGATCCACCGAGGAATACGGGTTGATTGGTGCGTATCGTTCATATATGATTCGTTATACCCTATGGTAATCGACACGTGTTTTCCTTACTCGTGTAGCGTGCTCCATCTCTCTGATTCTATCAAAAACACTGCAATCAGCACTCGTTCATATCTTGAATAACCCACAACAAATTTGAGTTCACAGAGAGGAATGGTAAAGAAAATTAAACTGCCCCATTCACGCAGTTGATTGACCCACTCACGACTACTGTGACCTTGAATCAAAAGTAGTATGAATAGACGAGCGTAGCCATATATGACTCCTTGCTCACATACGTTCATAGGAGGCGGTCATCTTCACTATCACAAAGATCGTGGATACTGAGCAGCGGAGCATTCGTTACGACTCTCAGAGTTTTGAACATTCTCTCTCTCTCTCTCTCTCTCTCTCTCTCTCTCTCTCTCTCTCTCTCTCTCTCTCTCTCTCTCTCTCTCTCTCTTGGATACTGAACAGCAGAGCATTCGCGAGGACTCTGGAGTTTTGAAGCTCTCTCTCTCTCTCTCTCTCTCTCTCTCTCTCTCTCTCTCTCTCTCTCTCTCTCTGTGTCGGCCTGTCTGCCTCTTTCTTTCTCTCAACTTACTGATTTTGCATCCACTTGCAGAGAGAAAGACAAGGGACATCGAGGCATTTTTGACTGCAGGCGCATTCGCGCCTGCGTAAAATCGATCAAGATGTTGTTGGAGACAACGGCGACGGGTGATGGGGATGGGAATCTGCTGGAGGTTCGGTTGGTCCGCTCGAATGGGACGCCGTATCCGGAAGTGCGAGGGCTAGATGGTTGCTTTTATGCTGTTGTGGGTTCGGGCGACACGTTCCGAGTTCAAGTCCGGGCTGTTCGGATGGATTTGCCGACAATGGTGGTCAAGGTGTTCGTGGACGGGAGGACCGTTGGATACAAAAAAACATTGTACGGATCGCACCTTGACTCCTGGTGTAACTTCGATGGATTCTGGGAAAACTACTCAAAGAAGAAAGCTTTCGTGTTCAACGCCAGCGGCATGAGGGGATGTAAATCAGTGATGGGGGAAGCAATCGGCGATGGACAGAGAGGAGAGAAGAAGGGAAGAGAGCAGAGACTGATGCAGCAACAGCAGCAGCATGAGCGGGAAGGCGGACACAACGAGCACGAAGACGAAGAAGAAGATGCTGAAGACGAAGTCGGCAATGAACGAGAAGAAGAAGAAGAAGAAGAAGAAGAAGAAGAAGAAGAAGAAGCACACGAAGGGGAAGATAATGACGCCAACGGCGACGAACATAGAGAAGAGAGAAAACGAGGAGGAGGAGGAGGAGAAGAAGGGCACGAAGTTGAAGGTCATCAAGACGGCCAAGAACACAGAGAAGAGAGCAAAGGAGAAGGAGGAGCACAGGGATGTGGCGGATCACACAAGTCAGCTGATGACCCAACGCTGGTGAGCGCTGGCACTGTGACTGTCTGCTTCTTTCAGTCAGAGATCTTTGAGTGTCCCGGAGAAGGATGTGAGAATTGCTCCTTTCTTGGATTCTCTGGACGCGACGTTGGCGGACCATCGAGGGTTGACGTCAACAACCGCAAGCGGACGGCGGCGAAGGGAGCGAAGGACAAGAGCGAGAGCGGGAGGAGTGGCCCCGGTGGGGACACCGGCGGGGAAGGAAGTGCGATCCCGTCCTGGGGGAGAGTGTCCGGAGGGAGAACGTTGACCAAATGCCGCTCGGTCAAACCTGCTACTCATTCTAGGAAGATGTCGAACGTGCCGTTGCTAGCCGTCGCCATCAGGTGCGAGACGGCAGGAGCGTTACTTGAGCAAGGGGCGCTGAATCCGAGCAATCCGAACCATGAACGGATTCTGGCTGCCAGCAAGCTGCGAGCATGCCCTATTCCAGAGTACTCAACTGCAGTAATTGTGCAGCAGATGAAGCCTGGCACCCCCTCAATCTCCGATGAAGTAAGGGGAGGTCGATCCTGGACGGACGAGAAGACAGTCGGTGCAGCAACGTCTTCTTCTCCTTCTCTTCCACCATGCTCATCTCCTCCTCCCCCTTCTCTTCCTCCCCCCCCTCCTGTTCCTCACATTCCTCCTCGTCTTCCATGTGCCGACAACCGTCAGCCGCCCAAACCTCGCAGTCCACCACTGGAAAATCTTCCGCACTTTGAGCGCATACAGTGCGGCAATCCGACCAAGATCCGCTCTTCATCAGGCAGCCATCTCGTCGGAGTCAGAAAGAGAAACCTTACGGCATCAACGACCTGTCGTCCTTGCGAAGGAGCAGCTTACCCTCGTCGGGTTCTTGTGGGTACTCACATTCGATCTACGCGTAATCACCGTACGAATCCAGCATCCTCTCCTCCTCCTCCTCCTCCTTCTCCTCCTCCTCCCCCTCCTCCCCCTGCGCCACTCCCACCTCGCCCTCCAAGATCTCGAGTGGACAAGTCCGCAGGATGTCGATTTGATTCCTACCGGTCATTTGCGGCCTCCCAGTCTGGCGTTCTGCAATCAAATGCGGCTATGGAAACGCGTGTGACGTGTACACTTCGCGCTGAGGTGACCGGAGGTGAGCGGGAGAATCGCTCCGCCGCGATGTGCACTTGCACCCGGTTGGATGCAGCTGGACAAGAGATTGCTGGGTCGTCGTCGGTCCCACGTCATCAGCACATCGCCAGGTCACGCCCATCTTCCAAGCTTCCTCCTCTTCCTTTACTATTTGACCCTGTGTCTGGAGGCAGCTTGAAGAGACGATGGGAGGTACCGACGGAGGGCGAGGAAGAAGGCCGCGAAGTTCGGAGAGAAGCAGGAGGAGTGACAGGCAGGGGAATCCTGGACAACCTACTCCCCACCCCCCTCTTTTCCTCGTCGTCGTCTTCCTCCTCCTCCTCCTCTTCTTCTTCCTTTGAATCTTTGATCAGCTCCTTGTCTACTTCTGCGCCCTCCATCGCTGGCGGTGGTAAGAAAGCTAAGTTAGGAAATGACAACAGGATGACGAGATTCGTCTCTCTGCCTGAAGACAAGTGTTGGGCGAGTGGCGGGAGATGGCAAAAGGAGAAGAGGAGACGAATCAAACCCGCAGACTTGTTGAATGTCCCTTCTCTCCCTCCTCCTCCTCCTTTTCCTCTTCTTTCCTCGTCCCCTGCTCGTCAACCTTCGCCTCCTCCTCCTCCTCCTCCTCCTCTTCCTCTGCTTTCTTCCTGTCGTGCTCATCAATCCCTGCCGCCTCTTTCTCCTCCTCCTCCTCCTCCTCTTCCTCTTCTTTGTTCGGCTCCTGTTCGTCAACACTCGCCTCCTCTTTCCCCTCTTCCTCCTCCTCCTCCTAGTGTGCAGCAAGAGAAAATTCTAGCCCATTCACATGTAGATAGGATTCCCGCCCCAACCTTCACTTGCCCGACGAAAAGCGCACTGCGCCGTGAACCCATGGACAGGTCGGCGACGACGACGACGACAAGTCTCAATCCGGTCTGCGATGCGCTGCGGTGTCCTCCTTTCCCGCAATCGGATCCGTCGGCGTTGGCAAGACCGGATCCGGGCTCCGATAAGCCTGAATCAACTTGCTATCCCTGTCTCGACCCTTATCCTCAAGCTTATCAAACTCGTCATCCGCCGCCTCCTCCTCATGCTCCTCCCTCTCGCCCTCCTCGTGCGCCTCTTGAACGACAGCAGCATCACGAGCGTCGGCGGGAAGGCCAGCCAACAAGGCCGTCACAGCAGCCAATAGCTTTACGAGCAGGAGAGGAGCGAGACGCCGAGGTAATTGAACAGAAGGCGCGTCTTCGGCGACCATGGGTTGGACAAGTGCAGGTGTCGGCTGAGCAGATGTGGCCATGGCCAAGCGAAGATAACCGGGATGGAGCGATCGGTCTTCGTCTTCGATCTGATGAGTCAGCTGTGGTCGAGACATCCCCAGAGGAAATGCTTGTGGATATCGAGCCTTCTCTGAACACGCAGGAAATGGCGGGAAATGTCATCATGGGGTCCTCCTCCTGCAGCCGAAGCCCCGCGCCCACATCAACGACGAGGGACCTTCAAGATTCCCACAGGTGGGTCCGGGAGGTCCAAGATTCCCGGAACTGGGTCCAGCACGAGGAGCTAAAAATAGCAGCAACGAACTGGTCGCATAACAAGAGGAATCTGGGTCCGGAACCCGATTGGCAATTGCACGGGGACGAGAGGGAGCCGTTCTTGGGGAGGCAGACTTCAAGCTGCACGGCTATGGCGGCCGAACCGGCACTCTTTACGGAAGGACGGGGAGGGCAGCTGCCCGGCGAGGAGGAGAAGATGCACGAGGACCGGGACATGCAAATTGTCAAGGAGTTCCCCCCTCCGAATGTGGAGCTTGGGCTTGCTCTAGCTTCGACAGATCACGTGCCACCGAGAAGCTCGGCACCAACTACTGGTACTAGTCCGTTTATGCGGGAGCTCCTAAGGGAAGGAGGAGGAAGAGACATAGTACGCGGGGAGGGGAAAATGCGCACGCAGGACTTCCTTCTGAACGTTGAACTCACTCTTGCTCCAGGTTCGACAGATCGCGTACGGCCCGTAATAGGTTTGATGCCTGTCAGTCAGCTTACCTCGTCTTCGAAAGCATTAGCAACGATGGAGAGGAACGAGAGCAGCAGCGCAGAGACCGGCATGAACTTGGACCTACAGATCGGTCTGACTGGTGGCATGTGCTTGGGCTGACAGCTGGACTAGGAACCGACATGTGGATCGAGTGACAGCTGGAAGGTTGATGGCAATCAATCTAGAGAGCAACGCAGAGACCGGGATGTACAGATTGTGCTGATAGCTACCTTAGTATGTGCTTGGGATGACAGGTGGATTGTGCCTGGGCTGACACCAGGCATGTAGATCGAGGGACAGCTGGTACGTTGACGGCAGTCGAGAGCAGCACAGAGACGGGGATGTACTTGGACCTGCAGATTGCGCTGACGCCTACCGTCTTCCCCCGAACACAACGCACCCTTATTTTGGCTGTATCTGGCCAGAAATATAGCTTGTATACATTCATTTTTAGGCTGCGTTATGTTCGGGGGAAGACGGTAGCATGTGCTTGGGATGACAGCTGGATTGTGCCGGGACTGACAACAGGCAGGTAGATCGAGTGACAGCTGGGACGTTGCACTTGAGAGCAGCACAGAGGCCGGGATGTACTTGGACCTGCAGATCGATCTGGCAGCTGGTGTGTAGGTTAGCTGACGGCGAGGATGTGCCTTGGGCTGACAGCTGGCATGTGGATCGACTGACAGCTGACACCGTTACATGTCTGTCAGCTGACCGCTGGCAAGTTGATTGGTTGATTCCCGGCTGACAGCTGACATGAAGATTGTCGGGAAACCTTTTCGGTTTTGGGCGGCCGGAGAAACCCGGGCTTGGTCGTACAAACTGTACATTGTCAATGCGCCCAGCGAAAACGATCGGGGGGTATTTTTATTTTATTTTTTTAAAGCTATGCTCTTCTCTCAATTTCACCTCACACCACCTACCTACCCCGACTCCTAATTAATTGTAGGCATACGGGGAGGTTTGGCAGGGGGAACCCCGTAGCAGCCAGAACCGTGTTCACGAGAGAACGTGCGGGGGCTGCTCCCGACCTGCAGGTGGGCGATCATCCCAGGTCGGCGCCCAAAACCGAAAAGGTTTCTGCGTCGGCGCTTTCCACCAAGTATCCCTTACAACTGCCACGCACGTGGGTTGACACAGCTGGAATGTAGTGGTCAGATAGGCGAAGCGACCAGAGCTCGGATTACGTTGTCTTCTCACCCATCGACGGCGAGGATTGAGAGCAGCTGTGGCAGGTAATGAATTTGCACAGGGTCCGACGTGGATTTGGATGTGCAGATGGATTGGCAGCTGTAGCAGCTGTTCGTCCGCTGCTGCGGGTTGATTAATAGCAGCTGGGAGGTAATAAATTAGTGTAATAGCTCACAGTGTTTGTCCGCTGCGATAGATTGATTAGCAGCTGGGGACAGGTAATAAATTGTAGTAGCTGTTCGACTGCTGCGACCGTCACGCTGCTCTACAGGCCGTCCATTTCTCCGGAGCACGAGCTATATTCCTCCCTTCTGCCCGGCGTGAATTCGGATATGCGGCAGACGGATTGACCGGTGGCACCTATTCTAATCCCCCGAGCACGAAGCACCCTGACAGTGAACGTATACAAGTCATGTTTTCGGTCCGATACAGTCGCAATGACGGTGACGGTAGTCGACAGTACATATCCGTCCGTAGCAATGATGACGCTGTTCAGGCTATGCCTATTTGTAGCACGACGTGCTCCATTTGCTCTGTTCTCTTTTACTCAGAGCGTGAGCACGCACGTGGAGACTCTGAGTGGTTGACAGCTACCCCTCCTGTAGCACGTGTAGATCGCACTTTTTGTGCGTCTGGTGCGACGATGACATGGAACATGCCATCTATGTTTAGCGCGTGGTGTATAAACTTTGTCTCTTCTTTCCTTCTTCCTTATTCTTTCTGCTCTGCAATGAACTGACTGGCCCCAGGTAAGTCGGAGCTGCTTTTTATTCTGTTCATCTGGCTGTGTCGGGATTCGACCGCTGGTCGGTATTTCGACAGCTCATGAGTGTACCAACTGAGTTGGGATTTGCCTTTTACCCTACTGTTTATTTGTGGCTCTCAGCCTGTCAGCGGACTCCGCAGGCAGGATTCGAGGATTGCATCTGTTCGCAGCAGCAGCGCTGCAGCGGTTCAGCTAATAAGTATCTGCTGGCTGATTCGTCGAGCGGAATCACTTTCCCTTTCAGCCTATCGAGTGTCCTGTAAGGATGGAAGGACTTTCAGACTATCGAGTGGCGAGTAAGGATCCATGTCTTGGGAGCGGTTCAGGGCGACGAGGAGCCCGTCGATTGGCAGCGATACATGTACCTAATTTGGTTACAACGGTTGTATCTGGTTTCTAGCTCGTTGATTGGAATGGCTTTCAGCTTGTCGAGTGACGTGTCAATATGAAATTCGTTTGCAGCGGCTGAGAGTGGCATGTAATATTTGGCCGATTGGAGTGACTGTCAGTCTGGTCGAGTGACGTGTCAGCATCAGATTTGCCTACATCGACCAAGGGGGCTCAGCGTCATGGCGATGCTGAATTCCGACGGGGGACTACTGCAAGCCATGGATTTATTTGTTTAGCGAATGACGAGATACAACGATCATATCACTGCTAGCCAAGCGCTTCCCCCGGGGAACAGTTCTGGGATGGGTGACCTCTGGGGAAGCACCGGTGCTGCACCCACTGAAAGCGGAAAGTATATCCTGAGCACTCCTGTGAGCTGAAAGTTCTCAAATTGATGCCCCTTACAATAAATACTGAAAGGCTACTAGAAGGCGGCCTCTGGACTTGTGCCCGGGCGTCAGAATAAATAAAAGAGGTCGAACTGATCAAGGTTCAGCATGTACTTCTTCAGGGGCAAGGTCGTTCTTCCCCGGATTTGTGAGGTTTTGGCCGTCGAATCTTCTTCGTTATCTACGCCGATTCTGCGGCCACTAGGCATGGCTGCACTACACAGCACTCTACAATCTCTACATGCATTTGGCCGCTTCCTGGACCAGCTGCATACGGAAGAGTCCAACATTTTGAATGTCTCCGGTCCAGAAAGCATCTAAATGCATGTAGAGTGCTGTGTAGTGCAGTGAGGCCTACTGTTTCGTAAGTGGGGCCTAGGAGTTGTATTAGGTATGGGAAAACTCCATTTAAGTGGGACATCCTTGTGCAGGGGCCATCCTAATCTTCTTTCTCTGTACGGAGGACAAGTTTTAGAAAACTGGATGACATGCATACATAGAGAACTTGAAAATGGGAAAAAAGAAAAGGAAAAAAACTGGTTGATGGTCTTAAATTTGGGACCCTCGACGTTGTGCATGCCTCCATGTGACGGCTCCAAACCGGCATCCATACGAGATAGTATTAGAGTTTCTATTTATTCGGAACGTTGTTCCAAAGGTGCCATTTGTGTGTTTATTTTTGACATTCAGTTTGTTCTTCAGCAGGAGGTATGACATTTGTGCTTTGCTCAGAACGTTCTCCATTGATAATATCCATGATCAGAATTTGCAGGAGGTCATTACGCTGTGTCTTCGTCTTTCTCTTTCTTTTTTCTTTTTTTTCTTCTTCTTCTTCTTCTTCTTCTTCTTCTTCTTCTTCTTCGTCGTCGTCGTCGTCGTCGTCGTCGTCGTCGTCGTCGTCGTCGTCGTCCTCTTCTTGTTTCTTCTTTTTCTTCTCTTCTTCTTCTTCTTCTTCTTTTTCTTCTTCTTCTTCTTCTTCTTCTTTTTCTTCTTCTTCTTCTTCTTCTCGGCATGGTATTTGTGCTTTGCTCAGAACATTCTCCATTGATAACATCCATGACCAGAATTTGCAGGAGGTCATTGCATTCAGTCTGGCCTTGAAATGCATTTTCTTCTTCTTCTTCTTCTTCTTCTTCTTCTTCTTCTTCTTCTTCTTCTTCTTCTTCTTCTTCTTGTGCTTTTCTTAGAACATTCTCAAATCTCCATTGATAACATCCATTATCAGTATTTCGAGGAGATCATTGCACTCTTGGATTGCGTCTTCTTCTTCTCTTGCTTTTTCTTCTTCTTCTTCTTCTTCTTCTTCTTCTTCTTCTTCTTACTTGGATATGTGCAGCAATATCATTCCACTGCAGTTGGATTGTTTTGGCACAAGGTCATCCGTAGCTTCCTTGTGCTATGTGTCTTTGGATTTCTTGGGCTAAATCCTTTTGGCATCTACGGCTCAGATCATCAGATCATCTTTGCATGTACATAAAAAAACATGAGATCTTGTACTTGCTAGTAAGTTGCTATTGTTGCTTGTACACCGAGGATCAATGACTCAGCGGTGCCAGCATTCACCATTCACCGCCATTCAGTATTACTGTATGAATTGTCAGGATTGCAACGACATAGATGGAGTTGCATTCTTGTTTTATTGGGCAAAGGTAACAATTAATTTAACGGATAAGATCATGCCTTCACTGCTAACAGCTGGTGGGAATTGCTTGTGTCGCTGCATCTGAGGACTCATAGCAACAAGAATCAATTGTGACTTTTTAATTAACCAAAGACATTAAATTTTCCCAGCAGAAATGAAGCAGTGCAATTTTTGCAACCAGCTTTAAATTGTTTTCTTTCATTTAATTTACTTTTTTTTTTTTTTTTTTTTTTTTTTTTTTTTTTTTTGAGGGAGTGGGGCCCTCTCACTGAACATTGCTGTATTCATTTGGTTTGTCGGTTTCATCGACACTTGAATTTATGATATCTTTCCACGCTGATCTTTTTACATGAGGTTTTTTAATTAGTTGGGCTGACCTAGACTGTTGAGGTTTTGTATTCAGTGCACTTACCATGCCTTTCTTTTTTCCTACGGTATGACTATTTTGAAAGTTGTGTTTGTTTCATATCTTTCAGAGTTCTTTGGCAGTTTATTCTTGCTTTGAACCCCAAAGAGCTGCTGCACATCTTCTTCCTCGACATGTCACCTCGCATGGTTCCATAACTTTTTTTTTCATGTGTGAACAAAACTTTCTTGTTGCGATGATATTTTACTTAGTGATAATACTCACCACGCCTTTAACTTTCCGGCGCGCTTCTTCGCTCTCTTTTTTTCCATTGACATTAAACACAGTATTCGTGAAAAGAGAACAAAAAAAATTGTTGGGTTTGAACGAAATATGTTAAAGTTTATGAAAGTACAGTATTTAGGCCTCCCATAGGAGCAAGATTCAACGTGAAGTAAAATAACATCAATAAAAAAGTAATTTTTTGGAAGCACTGAAGTGGCAAGGAAAAAAACATGTTTTTTTTTTTTAAATCACTAACAACCGAAGGACTTTTTATTAAGGAATTGAAATATGCTGTTTTTTTATTGTTTCAAAAAATCACATGTATAGCCCTATAAGTCATCTAGCATAGCGAACGTGTTCGAGAGTTTCGTGAGAAGACTACCATGTTATCTTGTTTGTGATTACGTTCGTCTTAACGTGCTCTCTCTTTTATGGGCAACCTTTTTTTTTTATTTTAAGATATATTTTTTTTCCTTGGGATTTTTATTTTTCATTTCAATTTGATTAAAAATTTAAAGATGCATCTGAGGCAGAAGTTGTTTGTGTTATTATTTTACATATCATATATTTTTTTTAGAATGTGTTTACTGTTAGCTTCAAAATTGTTTTATATGAATTTATGTTGTTTTTTAACGACGTATAGTCCTATACATCAATATTCATTAAAAATGTTTTTTTTATAGCTTTGAGTTCACCTCGCAACTTTTTTAGTGGAGTTTTTTTTTTTTTTTTTTTTTTTTGAAAATAAAAGGGCCTAGTGCCCAAGGCTGATATTATGACTATGATGATTGAGGCCGGGGTCCTTTAGTGGCCTTTAGTGGAGGTTTGTTGTTTGCCTGTCTGTTGGAAATCACTTATAGTCCTATAACAAGATCTTTGCTAGAAAGAGTTTTCCGACACATTTTTAAGATCGCTTGATTCGCTTCACTTTTTGCTTGTTTTTTTGCTTCGTCTCTTGATAAAGGATTAAAGACGTTGTTCTTTTTTTGTTAATACAACTGCTTAAGCTCAACAATTTCACTCTATACAAAATGTTGGGCTTTATTGGTTTTGTTGGGTTTTCACAAATCCTGTGTTATTAAAATTGTCTTTCGTCTCCTTGCTTCTTCTCGTATCTTAGCCGATCTTGCCCCTTCACATTTTCTCTTGCCCTTCTTCCTCTCCATCTGACCAACCAGATGCGAGACACTAGGATTGTCATGTGAAGCGAGACTACATCCGCCACACCATGGCTCCAAACATGCGTAC